TGATCGACGGGATCATCATTCGCTAATTGTAATTGGCGCAGTACTAATGCGTCATAACTAGACTATCACTAACAACTCCCAATTATATCATGAACTTTAATGAACTTCATCCATAAAAGTGTGTTTCTTGTCCTTTCAGCTAAATGATTCTTCTAAAGAAGCAATCTTTTATTATATCCTTTTGCACTACTTCCTGAATTAATCAAATTGGTACCTTTTCCCATTTCATCATTAGCAATTAACATTATATTTTAGATCTATTGATATCAAGTTCCAATATTTTACTATAGGGAGGACCTGTCCTAAAAAGCAAGACACGTGTCATCTGGCAGATGGGTCATCAGGTGATCAATTTACCCAGATGAGAATTTTACCGTTAGATCCTGATGAATTAAAAGATCAAAATGCCGCATTATCAAATTTTATTATGCAGTTAATGTATTTTATCAAACCCAAATTTTACAATTGTAAATGTACAAATAAATGATTTAATTTTCATTATTAGGATATATTCTCAATCAGCATTTGATTAGCAAAAATTGGTAAGGCCGGATGAGGTAGATTTTATTTTCACAACGTGTTAACTAAAGTTACCCACCTACAATATCCAGATTCTAAGATCACGACTCAGATATCTGGCCAACCTGTGGGTAATCCGGTTGCAACTGACCTGTATCTAATCTTTATTTTAATAAGAAATTTCACGTCAAGAGATTTATCTTTATTAGTGTCATTATCAAGGATTTTTGAGCAACTAATCAAAAAAATACTGAATTGCAATATATATGTTGTAAGTAGGAATTGGATTCTGAATCCATCTAGGTGGATGCGAAATGTTGACCAGAATTAAGATTATATGTCAAATGCCCATTTTTGACATCAGGGATCAAATAATTGGAATTTCTATCATCCAAGCCGCAAGTTCTATAGAATGCTGTAGCAAAGCCATGGGAAGGAATTTACAAAAGAGCTTCGTTCGCTCTTGGTTAACGATATGATTTGAACAACTTTGTAATTAGATAGTTCTTTTTCTCTTGGGCCAATTACAGAGCACCGGCAGTGGCAGTAATTTTGTATTTATTTGTATTCTTTTATCATTTATAATAAAACTATTTCCTTTATTTTATTCGATAAAAACCTTATTACTTTATTCGTTAAAATCAATCTACATGCTGTTTTCGTTACATTGTTATCGTCTATACTAAACTATAAAACTATTTATAAATTACCTCTCTTATGCAAAAGGAGGTAACACTAGCATTTCGCAATGCATTTTCAAATTTCAAATTTCAAATAATTATTAGAAAGAATCTACACTCAATGGATCATTATAATCAATAAAATACTTTTAAAGAACTCTTTTTTGCGTTTTTTTTTGTTTAGTTTCATTAATACATGTATATATGCATGTATTACAGTTAGTTTTCATAGAAAGAACATTGAAAAATAGTTTTATTAGAAAAAAGATCGGTATTTTATCAAAACGTCATATGACAAAATAACGTTCCATAGCGAAGTCAGAAAAAAAAAATTTAGAACTAACATTATTGATAAGTTTAAAATTAAAAATTTGGATTTACGAACCTCTGCATATACCCGGGGGGTACCAAAAATATTGCACGGTCGAAATTTAACAGATTTAATAAATTGTTAATATGTAACTGCCCATGTAA